CATGCTGACCAGAACGGCAAAGAATCTGGTAATCCCTATACTGATCTCCACTCTGTTTTCTCCAGGCACCCGAAGGGAATCCATTGTGTTTGCAAGCGATTCCCATCCTTGAAAATCGTGACTTCAGAAATCGATGCTTGCTTGAATGAAGAGTTTCGTGTAATACCAGGTATGGGTGAGTTTGGCGATCGATACTTTGGTACTGATGACTGATCAACATGTGAATATTAAGAGCTAAGCAAGCCAAGTTCTCAAGCACCCATTATTTTCTGCTTTTTGTTACAGTTGATGTTCTATGAAAAGAATTGTGATGTATAATAGGATGGTGATATGCTTATTCTCTAATATTGTATGATGTTGATGCTTCTGCTTGTTTCTCTAGTTCAATTTCCATTTACGTTATATTTTATATCTTTATTTAATTATTAGACTTGCTTTCCTACAGAAAATTACATTATAATTTTTTTTTTTATTTTTTGAATCATCTTTACTCGTTTTAAGTTGGGGGAAAAGATTCAGTTCGCGCGAATTGAAAGATTCACTCCGGTTGAGTAAAGGTGACTCAGGTACAAGAATTACGATGTAATTTTCTTTATCAAGACTAGTCTGGTTTCTAGTCAAAGAATGCAGGTAAAAATTGAATGAAATAGGTTATAATGGGTCAATTGTACAGCCGGTCTAGAGCGTTAGTCATAATGGGCCCAGTTTTTCGGCTGAAAGCCCATTATCATTTGTTCCCGTGTCTAGGACATAGAAGAGAATTTTTTCTATGATTCGACAATATTATGCCGTGCATGAGAGACTTCAGAAAATCCGCTAGAATAAGTTATGTTGTATGATTATACTTTAAACTATGTTTTTAGTTGTGTCTTATTTAATAAAATATAATTTAAATGCGTTCATTTCCTCCGCATTGACATCAAAATGAAACTAGGGATCTAAAGAAAAATGAAGACTAAACTATATTATTGCAAGTGTGAAGTATGAGATTTTCGTATCGAATTAGAATGGAGTCAGCGGACGAGTACAGAGACTAGGCAAATGGTATACAAATGTCACCTCAAAAGCATTTTCACTTAAAAACAACTTTTGCAGCAGAACCAAAGCTTGGCCAAACAGGTCTTAATAATTTCTAGTGTCCTCTTTTCCCTTTTACAAATCTCCTAAAGCGAGCTAAATTCAACTTAACAACCACAATTATCCTATCTACTATTTTATCAACAAACTTTAAGTACCCAATCCTCCAAGATCTCATCACCATCAAAGTTCCCAACACTACCCAGAAACCCACAGCAAATCCTGGTCCAACCCCAAACCAAAACCACTGCATTTCAAACTTTTCTCCCCCACCATTTTCACTTCCTCCACCATGATTTCCTCCATCATCAGCACTGCAATTGATTGGCAAAGGGAATCCGCATAGCCCTGGGTTGCCTTCGAATGCAGAAGGATCAGTGAAGGTTGCAAACTGGTTGGTTGATGGGATCTTACCAGTCAAATTGTTGTGTGAAAGGTTGAGGTGATTTAATGAAGTCAAGCCTGGAATTGTTTGAGGAATGGTGCCTGAAATTTGGTTGCTTGACAGATCTATTGTTTCGATAATCTTCAACCGGAACCCAATGCTGGCAGGTATCTTCCCTGTTAAATGGTTCATGGACAAGTTCAAGGTTCCTAATCTTGAAAGACTTGAAATTCCTTCAGGGATAGTTCCAGATAGGTTGTTGCTTGAAAGGTCTATGATGTTTACAAGATAAAGAGTAGTGTCAAACCACATATCTCTCCCTTTCGCCACCACCCATAACTGCCCCTCGTATTTGACTCCGGCCGCACTGGTTGTCATCGCGGTCAGATTGCCGATGCAGGAGGGAATTGAGCCTGACAGATTGTTGTCTGCGAGGTCCAGAATGTGGAGTGACGAAAGGCTGCATAATTGCCTTGGAATTTGACCATTAAACATGTTTGATCGTAGGCTTAGAATCGACAATGATCCATCCTTGTCTGCTATCCATGTTGGTATCTTGCCTGAGAGTCTGTTAACTCCAAGATCAAGAGTTGTTAATGGGCAATTTTTCAAGGACAATGGAATTTCACCTGAGAGATTATTGTTACTTAGTCTGACAAACTGAAGTGCAGCTAAAGAGCCTAAAGAAGTCGGAATTGCACCAGACAAATCATTGTTCGACAAATCTATGAGATACAGATCTGGTGTTGTATTCCAAATATCAGGAATTGGCCCAGTCAAATGATTGTCTCCGACAACGAATGTCAGTAGGGAAGTCATGTTTCCGATAGACGAGGGTATGGTGCCATTGAGGGAGTTGAAAGAGATATCTATATCCGATAACATTGGCATTTTTTCGCCAAAGTCTTCGGGAATTGGTCCAGAAAAAGAATTATTATCCAAATGATAAGAACTCAAATTGATTGACAAGATTGGCAAGGGACCTGTGAAGTGATTACCATTCAAGAAAACAATACCTTGCAGATTGAATTTAATGTCGTTTGGAATTGTCCCTGTTAAATTGTTGTAACTGAAGTCCAGCACATCAAGAGTCAGATCCAACTTCCAGAACCAATCTGGTATCTTCCCTGAAATCCCTGCATTCCATATGGCGACAGATTGTAGCTTGTTTTGATTTCGAAGCCATTCAGGGAAATTAGGACCTACCAGGCAAGAATGGAGGTTGATGTATGTGAGTTTAAAAGGAGGAATCCATTCAGAACTCAGATTGAAAACCAAAGTGATGTTTCTGGATTCTTGATTTAGTGACAGCTCCTTCAAACTCGTTAGGTTCGCGAAATGAGCTTCGGTTATGACTCCATGCCATCGATTTCTCTTGAGATCCAAGTAAACTAACGAAGAGAGTTGTCCGAGATTAGGTGGAATTCTTCCTCTCATTGCATTTTCTGACAGATAGAATTCTTGTAAAGAAGACAAATTCCCAATGGATTCTGGAATTGAATCCACAAAAAAGTTCTTCATAAGTCCAAGATATTTCAAGTTCTTGATGTGTCCCAAGGAATCCGGAAGCAGCCCGCCGAGTTGATTGTATCCCAAATGCAATAACTCTAAGCTACTGTTTTTGCATCTAGACAAACCATTTGTGAGTTCTGCAATTCCTCCACCAAACATGTTGAAAGAAAGATCAAGAACACGCAAATTGCAGAGCTGCCCTAGATTTTTCAACTTGCCTCCTAGAAAATAATTAGAAGACAAGTCAAGATGCTGAAGTGAATTCAACCCTGCAATTTCATCAGGAATTTTTCCTTGGAGAACATTCTTGCTAAGATCAAGATAACGAAGACTACTTAAGTTGAAAAGCCATGGCGAGATCGAAGAGTTGAAGCCATTGTTGGAGAGGTCAAGTACCGAAAGCGAAGTAAGGTTAACAAATGGAAGAGGAGGAAGCAGAGAAAGTCCACATGCTGGTAAATACAACTCTGAAAGTGAAGGAATCATGTTGATAACTTCATGCCAATAATTTGCGGTGTTGCTGAGATCAACACCTCCCAAATTTAAGTATTTCAAAGAAGAAAGACTCCTTAACCAATGGAGATCACTCCCATTTGATTCAAGAAAACAGTTCTCGAAATCGAGATACTCTAATCTTGTAAGATACCCTATGCTTGAAGGGATACTTCCTCCAAAAGACCCATATGAGAGATTGAGATATCTCAATTTCTTAAATGAACCAATGAAGTCTGGAATTGGGATTCCTTCAAAGCTGTTCCTGCTCAAGTCTAAGTACTCTAAGTACTTTAAATCAAGCAAAGAGGAACTTATATCTCCACCTAAACCATAATCTGCTCCGTGATCAGGATCACTTGAGTTCAGATTGCCAAGTTTGAGATCAGTGACATGTCCATTGCTGTTATTACCGCAACTCACACCTGCCCAGCTACAGCAATCTTTGCCTATCCAGGAAGATAAACGGCCTGAAGGATCTGTACTGCTTTCTTTGAAGTTGAGAAGAGCTTTTCTCTCAATCTCTATACAACTAACATTGTGATTAATTTCACTGCATGATCCAAGCTTGATTCTTTCTGTATATAGAAACAAAGAAAGTAGGATAGGAATGAGTAGAAATTGGAAGAGGGTAAAGGTGTCTGCCATTGTTGCTGCGGCTAACAACTTAGATGATATATATATATATATATATGCTATTATACCCAAATGAGAACGTGTAATCTGGAACTTCGAAGTCAATTTTTAGTTTTGGTTCATTTTTCACACTTGTAAAACTAGGGTTCCCCTGTTTAAATGCTGTTAATTTAACGTTTGTTTGTGGAAATTTCTGAGAGTGTCCGTGGGTATATATATATACACATACATACACATTTAGAAGTCGTATAGGAGGCAGGCAATTTCGATGGCCGCCTTTTTGAAGTCTGTTCCACTTTTGAGAGGTAATGAGTACTTGATAGAAAAAAACAAACATTTAATAATCAGAGAATGCCTCTCCACTTGAGCTGTAGATAGCCCACTTGCTCCAATGGTGGAGACAATCGACTGCGATAAAGAGATGCTGTTGTCGTCAACAATGCTCAAGAATTACAGGTTAAAAATAATTAATTTAATAAAAATAAAAATTTAATTTTATTATTTTATTAAAATTATTATATTTTTAGAATAAAATAAATATTAACTAATTTTGTTTAGTTGAGATATTATAACGAGTTATTAATATTTTATTGGTAGAAAAAAAATTGACGGTTGGTCCACTAAGACTGCTGGGTCTGTCGACCCACGTAAATTCTGGAATTATATATATGTATCTATTTTTGTACTGAGTATATATGGACCCACATATAGACATATACGTGTGTGTGTGTGTGTGTTTATATAAATATGTTGAGTCAAACATTTTCAAAAATGGGTTCGGACTGATTATACCATTGATAATGATAGACTAAATCTTAGGTAATATGGTAAAGCCTCGTGCATATTTTTATAATCGTTTCTAATCACTAGACAGAATTGTTGGGTAGGTGGATCACGTAGAGTGTAAACCATCCATCCACTCATTAGGTTCGAGAAACTTTTTTCTGTATAATCTAGTTCAAAAAATTAATTCTGGATAAATTTTATTAATTTAGAAATGTATAAAAAATATATTTTATAAATTAATTTAATAAAAATTTTGTTATATTTAAAAAAAAAATAAATTAAGAATGAGATTGAAAACAATTTTTAAAAAATAAAGGTAAAAATTTATGTTCGGATGATATTTTTAAAAGAAAAATAAAAAATTGAGGGTCGAATGTAAATAAAAAAAATTTGATCACGTAGGACCGTTCAGTCAGCAGCCTTGACGAATCAGAGCGCACCGCGTGACAAGTCACGCTGACATGGTGCCATGCGGGAGACCACGCTGGTGATCTGTGTGCCCCGCGATCGGATGACCTAAAAGCGATCCCGCGCGCATGGATGATTCGGATCCGTTTTTTTCTTAGGCATGATCAGACAGTAGAGATCAAACACAATGAACGGCTCAGATCATTGCGAGATAGGTATAAATATTTCGCATCACATTGAATCTGAACCCTAGCCACTAGCCTTCCGTCAGAGAAAAAGAACCAGTCGCCGGAGAAGGGAGTAGACTGCCGACCGCCGATTGCCGCAGCACAGGAGCCACCTCCAACCACCAAAAAAGGTAAAAATTCTCCTACCCGCTCGGAATTCGATTTTGAGCACTCCTGTGGCCATATCGGAGCAAAACGAATGGTGGGTGAGCTAAAAATCGCCGGTAAAGTCCAGCGGAGCCGCCGCAGGCAAAACTTGCAACCTTTTTCGATGAGCCCCTTCCCGTTTTCCATTTCGTGTGATTTTTTCACCGTTGTGTTCACCATTATAATTTTTACAAGTTGACTGAAGAAAAAATCTCAGCCGTGAAGGTTAGCTGGCGGAGCCGCCGCACCCGGAAAACTCCACCACTGGTAAGTTTTTATTTTTTTATTTTTTTTGGTCAACCGAGGCCCACTAACATATTTTTTTGCAGGCATAAGGCGGCTAAAATCGGTCAAAATCGACAAAAAATAGCAAGGCCGAGGTAAACTGCCACCGCGGGCAGTGGTGTCATCGCCGAAGCATGGCGGTGCCGCCGTGCCAGAACTCTGAAATTGACCAAAAAGAATTTTTAACACTGATTTTGGGCTTTTGGGGTATTTTTAGGTACGTGAAACGTGTTTTAATCTCCGCAAAAAAATTCAGAAAATTCAGGGACCGCCAGTAGGTGCAGTAAAAAGTTCGGTATTTCAGACACTGATTCGAGTAAGAATCTTTCACCCTATTCCCTATTATGGAATTGAAACTTAATAATCAATAGTATTGTATTCTGTGAAATTTAGAAAGATTTTAAGAATAATTACAGGTCACTAATAGAGCTGGAACATGTTAGTTATTTATTTGTTCTGTTTAATTGATTATTTGAATTTACAGCTTTAAATACATGATAATATATTGGAATAGTTAAATGATTCAGTTGTGCTTTCTTGATGCATATATCGTTTGTCTTGCGTGATTTACGGTTGATTAGTGAAATTTAAAATTAATATGCAAATGAAAAATTGCTTAGTTATGTAAATTAATGAATAGTTGTTTTATTGGATATTCTGGAAGATGGTGGATGGACCGGGTACATAAGGAACCCTACAGTGAACTTTACCTCATACCGAATGAGGTATCGAGGGATCGTATTTTTGGTGCTTATATCGGATGGAATACGGAAACAGTCTGATTCACCCTCATACTGGATGGGGTATCGAGGGATGGTATTTTTGACGCTCATACCGGATAGGGTATGGAGACGGTCAGTTAGTTGACAAGTTTAGATATTAGGTTCATGTATAGTGGGACATCCCTATGGACCCCTATAGCTACCAGTAAAAAAAAAAAGTTGTTATTGCTCACTTGAATATGATATCATAATATTATTTGAGTTATTGTCTCTATAGGTCGGTTTTGAAAATCTCGTAATGGTAAGTATGCAATAAATTGTTTTCCTTATGATAAATGAATTTACTTAAATTAAGAGCTCCATTAGTTGTTTTTATGATTTTTACTAACATTCGGTTTTTATATCAGTGAGTAGTGTGATATTCTTATTGGGTTAGTGTAGCTCCCCCCTCCCCTATTAACCATTTCAGTTCAAGAAAATTAAAATTCAGATCCTGATCAGTAGGAGGGTTGTGAGTAGGTGTCCCCCCGGATCCTATTAAGAGCTAGTGGAGGTTAACCTCCCTACAATATTTATTTATTATTTTTATATGTTATTACGTTTTTTGTTTTATGAACCGCTGTGAAAGGGACATTTCTGTAGACTTATTGGGTATGCTAATTTATGTGTAAGGAATGTAAACCCTAATGTTATTATACGCTTTCACATTTAATTTATGATCTTGTTTCCATTTAAGTTTTGGATCTTTACAGTTGGTATCAAAGTTGCGTTCCTCGGAACCATTCCTTACATAAAGACCTAAGGAAAAAAAAAAAAATGAATTATCCCTCAACAATTTCTTGTGAAATGCAGGTACAAATAGATGAGGAGAGGAAGACCCCCATTAAATTGAGCAGCCCAGGAGGGTTTACTTTGAGAAGATGTTGACCAACTATTTGAAATGCTGAAGAGACTCATCGCTGCCCAGCATGCTCGAGAGGAAAGGAGGGAGCTACCTGACCCTCCTCCACTACCACAGTTTGAGCCACCCCTGCAGCAGGAGGATCCTGAGCCACCCTGGTACAACCCTGCTCCTCTACAGTACTATCCGGCACCATCACAGTGTAATATAGTGCCTCCACCATATCATCCAGTACTACTATAGGGCCATCCGGTCCCTCCCCAGCATAATCCAGTCCCTTTTTCATGGGATCCAGTTCCAGCAATGATTGACCTAGACTATATTGAGAGGTACAAAAGACTAAACCCATCTACTTTTGCAGGGGCATCTTCATTTAAAGAGGCTGAGTACTGATTAACTGAGACAGAGAAGGCTTTTCACGACTCTTGGGGTGGTTCCTGAACAAAGAGTTATACTTGCCACCTACATATTGGTGAGAGAGGCAGGTCGCTGGTGGCAACTCAAACAGGTCGCTGATGGCAGCTCAAGCAGGTCACCCTGCCTGTTCTAGTCACTTGGGAACAGTTCCTGATGGCATTCAATGCAGAGTACTTCCTAGAGCATCTCTGACATATGAAGAAAATGGAGTTTGCACAACTAGTCCAATGTGATATGACTGTGTTAGAGTAGGCCCGAAAGTTTCTAGAGTTAGGCCGGTATTCTCCTGAGAGGATGATGGATGAAGGCAGAAAGGAAAAAAAGTTTGAGTGGGGCCTCCATCTTGAGATTAAACATCAACTATATATGTTCAAGCTTAGTACTTATTTAGCTGTTCTGGCCAAGGTACAACTGGTAGAGAGAAACTTTCGCATTTTTCCTCCAGTAGTGGGGAACTTCAGGCCCCCGATTTCACACCGCAGACCAGCACCCACTGCACCTGTTCAGTAGTACAAGAGACCTAGGCTAGTAACTCAGGCTCCTCTTTAGATTCCGGTAACAGAATGTGGTAGTATTTGCCAGTACTGTGGTAAAGATCACAGAGACCGACCCTGCTATCACCTCAACAATACTTGCCATATATGTGGGAGTGCCCAACACTACGCGAGAGAGTGCCCAAAGAATCAGAACTAAGCCAAATCTCCTATCCAGGGTAGAGCTTACAACCTTATTCAGTAAGATGCAGAAGACAACCCAGACTTGATACATGACAAACCTAAGAAAGAAATTTACATTCGAAAGATTTTAGTAGTTCAAGACTTCATGAATGTGTTTCTTAATGAACTAACTAGATTGCCAGTGGATAGAGAAGTTGAATTTACCATAAATCTTTAGCTAGGCACCCAGCCTATCTCGGTTGCCTCTTACCACATAAGCCGCGTTGAGATGAAAAAGCTGAGAAAATAGATCAATGAATTACAGAATAGTGGGTTCATCCGATGTAGTGTGTCCCATTGGAGTGTTGGAG